ATTTATCTCATATGCGCTCTGTTGCGAGGGAGGCGATCGCGACTATTTAAAACGCTCCAACGACTTAAAACTCAGAAACTGTGCACAATTTGACTGTGTGTGTTTGCTGGATCAGTCTTTCACTGACACACAGCAGAAGCCCCTATTTCACTGCGATTCAGAGAATGAAAGTACTCCATTTCTTTCTTTCTCTCTCTCTCTCTGTCTCTCTCTCTCTCACACACACACACACACACACAGTGGCCCAATTTGACCTGCTGGCTTGACTTTTCTTCTCCTCTCGGCTGTTTTTCAGCGCTACTTCTGAATACAGTCAAGAGCGCGTGCCTGCAAAGTTTTTTCCACCGTGTCTATCAAGGATCAACTGTGATTGCCGCTGGCGCCTGCCGCCTATCAGTGTCACTCATCTGTGAAGAGCGCAGCACGCAAGAGCCAATCGCAACCGTTTTTGTTAAGGGTGTGTCCAATAAAAGGGGTGTAAGAGAACTAGACAAGGATCAGAAAGGGCTACATATATATATATATATATATATATATATATATATATATATATATATATATATATATATATATATATATATATATATATATATATATATTAATATAAAAATATTCATACATTTTAATACAAGAATTGCTGCTGGGAAGAAAATATAAAACTGTGTATGAAAAGCACCTTCAATGCACCGAGATATCGAATTGAACCGAATCGATGGCATGATAATCGTAACCGAACCGTGAGACCAGTGTAGGTTCACAGCTGTAACGTTAATCGTTGCAGGGTTTGTTTGAAAGTGTACCTGAGATTACATCTTCAATCAGGTCAAGGTGTACTTGTTTGGTCTGCTTTTGGTGCGTATCCAAGTACGATAGCTGTTTTCACATGCCTAAACGAATCACACCAAAAACGTTGACGTAATTTTTATTTTAACTAAATGAGGCAACAGTGAAAGCATCCTAAAGATCACACTTGCAGAATGTTTAAATTTGATAATGAAATAAGAGAACAAATCTAGCAGTGCGAGAAGACAAAAATACTCCAGTATTAAGAAAGCATCTTTTTTAAAGTTTTGCAAATTTTGTTGCTAAAAACAAGAACTGTTGGGTTGTTAGAATGCAAAATGTGTAAGGACAGAATCTGTCATCAACCTTATAAACTTTGCGTCTTGAACTAAAGTCAAACTCCTTATTGCAGTCAAAAAGTCTTATTATTTTCACAACTGCTTTCAGCCTTGTCATCTGTGCTGAGGCGTTTCTACAGATGTGTTAAAATCACAGCTTGAGTGTGCTCACGGATCACTGGATACACTAGGATAGAAATACTATGATGCATCCCAGACTGAACCCCACAGAAGACGGGAATACAGTAATGGATCTTGGACTGAACCCCACATAAGAAAAAAGTTTAATGAGGAATCTCGAATCAAACCCTACAAAAGACAGAAATAGTAGTTTTTTGTGACTGTATTCCCCAAAATGTAAGGATAATTTTGTAGTAATTCTCTCCTTCTGCTTGAGTGTGTCACGGATCACTGGACACATTAGGGCAGGAATACAGTGATGCATCCTGAACTGAACCCTGAACAGGGATGGGAGTATATGATGCAGCCCAGACTAAATCTCCACTACTGCTGTCCTAAGTGGGGTTTAATTCAGGATGCATTACTGAATTCCTTTTCAAAGTGGGGTTTAGTCCGGGATGCATTACTGTTTTCATTTCATGAAGTGGAGTTTATTCCAGGATTTCTGTATTCCTGTTCTAAGTAGGGTTTATTCTGGGAGGCATTATTGCTTTACTTTTCTAAGTGGGGTTCAGTCCAGGATGCAACATTGTTTTCTTTAGTGGGTTAGTAAAGGATGTATTACTGTTTTCCTTTCCTAAGTGGGGTTTAGTCCAAGATTCATTACTGTTTTCCTTTCCTAAGTGGGGTTTAGTCTAGGATGCATTACTGTTTTTCGTTTTAAAGTGGGGTTTAGTCCGGGAGGCATTACTGTTTTTCGTTTTAAAGTGGAGTTTAGTCCAAGATTCATTACTGTTTTTCTTTCCTAAGTGGGGTTTAGTCTAGGATGCATTACTGTTTTCCTTTTCTAAGTGGGGTTTAGTCCGGGAGGCATTACTGTTTTTCGTTTTAAAGTGGAGTTTAGTCCAAGATTCATTACTGTTTTTCTTTTCAAAGTGGGGTTTAGTCTAGGATGCATTACTGTTTTTCGTTTTAAAGTGGGGTTTAGTCCAAGATTCATTACTGTTTTTCTTTCCTAAGTGGGGTTTAGTCTAGGATGCATTACTGTTTTCCTTTTCTAAGTGGGGTTTAGTCCGGGAGGCATTACTGTTTTTCGTTTTAAAGTGGGGTTTAGTCCAAGATTCATTACTGTTTTCCTTTTCTAAGTGGGGTTTAGTCCGGGAGGCATTACTGTTTTTCGTTTTAAAGTGGAGTTTAGTCCAAGATTCATTACTGTTTTTCTTTTCTAAGTGGGGTTTAGTCTAGGATGCATTACTGTTTTTCGTTTTAAAGTGGAGTTTAGTCCAAGATTTATTACTGTTTTCTGTTTTTAAGTAGGGTTTATTCCAAGATGCATTACCGTTTTCCTTTCCTAATTGGGGTTTAGTCTAGGATGCATTACTGTTTTTCATTTAAAGTGGGGTTTAGTCCAAGAATCATTCCTGTTTTCTGTTTAAAAGTGGGGTTTAGTCTAGAATGCATTATTGTTTTCCTTTTCTAAGTGGGGTTTAGTCCGGGAGGCATTAATGTTTTTCGTTTTAAAGTGGGGTTTAGTCCAAGATTCATCACTGTTTTCTGTTTTTAAGTGGGGTTTAGTCTAGGATGCATTACTGTTTTCTTTTTCTAAGTGGGGTTTAGTCCAAGAATCATTCCTGTTTTCTGTTTTAAGTGGGGTTTAATCTAGGATGCATTAGTGTTTTCCTTTTCTAAGTGGGGTTTAGTACAAGATGCATTACTGTTTTTCGTTTAAAGTGGGGTTTAGTCCAAGAATCATTCCTGTTTTCTGTTTTAAAGTGGGGTTTAGTCTAGGATGCATTAGTGTTTTCCTTTTCTAAGTGGGGTTTAGTCTAGGATGCATTACTGTATTCCTTTTCTAAGTGGGGTCTAGTGTGGAATGTATTACTGCTTTTCTTCTCAAGTTTAGGTTTAGTCCAGGATGCATTACCGTTTTTCGCTTTTAAGTGGGGTTTAGTCCAGGATGCATTACTGTTTTTCGCTTTTAAGTGGGGTTTAGTCCAGGATGCATTACTGTTTTCCGTTTTAAAGTGGGGTTTAATCCAAGATTCATTACTGTTTTTCTTTCCTAAGTGGGGTTTAGTCTAGGATGCATTACTGTTTTTCTTTTCAAAGTGGGGTTTAGTCTAGGATGCATTACTGTTTTTCGTTTTAAAGTGGGGTTTAGTCCAAGATTCATTACTGTTTTTCTTTCCTAAGTGGGGTTTAGTCTAGGATGCATTACTGTTTTCCTTTTCTAAGTGGGGTTTAGTCCGGGAGGCATTACTGTTTTTCGTTTTAAAGTGGGGTTTAGTCCAAGATTCATTACTGTTTTCCTTTTCTAAGTGGGGTTTAGTCCGGGAGGCATTACTGTTTTTCGTTTTAAAGTGGAGTTTAGTCCAAGATTCATTACTGTTTTTCTTTTCTAAGTGGGGTTTAGTCTAGGATGCATTACTGTTTTTCGTTTTAAAGTGGAGTTTAGTCCAAGATTCATTACTGTTTTCTGTTTTTAAGTAGGGTTTATTCCAAGATGCATTACCGTTTTCCTTTCCTAATTGGGGTTTAGTCTAGGATGCATTACTGTTTTTCATTTAAAGTGGGGTTTAGTCCAAGAATCATTCCTGTTTTCTGTTTAAAAGTGGGGTTTAGTCTAGAATGCATTATTGTTTTCCTTTTCTAAGTGGGGTTTAGTCCGGGAGGCATTAATGTTTTTCGTTTTAAAGTGGGGTTTAGTCCAAGATTCATCACTGTTTTCTGTTTTTAAGTGGGGTTTAGTCTAGGATGCATTACTGTTTTCTTTTTCTAAGTGGGGTTTAGTCCAAGAATCATTCCTGTTTTCTGTTTTAAGTGGGGTTTAATCTAGGATGCATTAGTGTTTTCCTTTTCTAAGTGGGGTTTAGTACAAGATGCATTACTGTTTTTCGTTTAAAGTGGGGTTTAGTCCAAGAATCATTCCTGTTTTCTGTTTTAAAGTGGGGTTTAGTCTAGGATGCATTAGTGTTTTCCTTTTCTAAGTGGGGTTTAGTCTAGGATGCATTACTGTATTCCTTTTCTAAGTGGGGTCTAGTGTGGAATGTATTACTGCTTTTCTTCTCAAGTTTAGGTTTAGTCCAGGATGCATTACCGTTTTTCGCTTTTAAGTGGGGTTTAGTCCAGGATGCATTACTGTTTTTCGCTTTTAAGTGGGGTTTAGTCCAGGATGCATTACTGTTTTCCGTTTTAAAGTGGGGTTTAATCCAAGATTCATTACTGTTCTCCTTTCCAAACTGGGGTTTAATCTGGGATGCATTACGGTATTTCCTATACAAAACAAGCAGGAAATTCTCTAGTTTTTCTCTATTTCTGCTTGAGTGTGTGTCATGGATCAGTGGGCACATTAGGATGGGAATACAGTGATTCATCCTGAACTGAACCCCACATCGGAATGGGCATAAGCTGATGCATCCCCCGCACTGAAATGTGGGGTTCAGTGTGGGATGCGTCGCTGTATTGCCGTCCTAATGTGCCCAGTGATCCATGAAACTCAAGCAGAAGGAGAGAGAAACATTAGTGTTTGGTTTTGTGGCTGATGCTGGAACAGGTTGTTTTATGCAGCAGTCTGAGCGCTGCCAGTGGGCGGGAGAGAGACAGAGACAGTGATAGAAAAAGACAGAGGGAGAGAGAGAGAGAGAGAGAGAGACAGTTGAGGCGAGAGGGGAGGGACAGGGTGAGTGAGAACATAAGACAGGAAGGCAACGGACGATCACAAAGAGAGTAGAAAAGGAGAACAAGTGCAGCAAAGGGACCAGAGGAGAAGAGAGAGAAAGAGAGAGAGACAGAGCAGGACAATCCGAAGCTCAAAAATGCCTCCCAACTTCGCCGGCACCTGGAAAATGAAAAGCAGTGAGAATTTCGATGAACTTCTGAAAGCTCTCGGTAATTTTTCATTTCATCCCATTAGCTGAGCATCACGTACGCTTGTCATCTCTCCTCCGGGCATCTCGGAAACACTGGATTTAGATGTTATCGTAGTGATGGAACATGAGACGGCTGATTATTCACATTTATCATGATAGGAGATGTGGTTAAAGTGGGTCACGTGGTTGTTAAAGTTATCTGAGGGCTTTGTGTTCGCTACAGTCACTTTAGTGATTTGTTTCAGTACAGGACAGAAATCTCTCTGAACAGATTCAGGCAGTCTGGAGCAAAACTCTGGGGGTTACATGATAAATTTGGCTTTTTCTTGCATTTGGCAGATGCTTTAAGGAATGTTTTACCTCTGCATGTGTGTTCCCCTGGAGTCAAACTCATAATGGCGGCTTTGCAAACAATTTGCTCGAGTAAAAGGAACAATTTTAATGCTTTTTCAAAGCCTGGGACAATTCATGGAGATTCTGATTTCTTGTGAATATTCTTTAAAAATATTTAGCTTTTAATTATTTTAACACCTCACATTAAACTAATAAAATTAAGATTTTTTTCATGCGAGATTATACATTTTCAAAATTAAATATTTATGTTTATTTTAAAAAACAAACATTTTTCCAAGCCTAGAACATTACATTGAGATTTACCATTTTATAAATACATATTTTAGCAAAGTATTTTTATCTATTTTAGTTTTAGTTATTTTAGCACGTCAAATTAAACTACTAAAAAAAGATTTTTTATGTGAGTTAATACTTTTTTTTTAAATTAAATATTTGTTTATTTTACATATCAAACCTTTTTTAAAGCCCAGGACATTTAATTGTGATTCTGTTTTCATGTAAATATATAAAATAAAGTATTTTAATTTTAGTTATTTTAACACATCACATCAAACTATAAAAAATATGATTTTTTTAATGCGAGTTAATAATTTTTTTAAATGAAATATTTATGTTTATTTTAAGTAACAAACATTTTTTTTAAGCCCAGGGTATTAAATGTATTTCTGTATTTCTGTATTTATTTAATATTTTTTGTAAATATTTTAGCAGTAATTTTTTTTTGTTTAGTTTTAGTTATTTTAGCACGTCACATTTAACTAATAAAAATATGACATATTTTATGCAAGTTAATAGTTTCTTTAATACAGTAGTTTGTTATTAGCAACAAACATTTTTCAAATCCCAGGATACACATTAAATTAATAAAAACATTAAATAAATAAAAATATTAAATATTCTTATGCGAGTAATACATGTTTTTTCAAATTAATTATTAATTTTTATTTGAAATAGAAAATATTTTAAATATATAATATAATATTTTAATTATTTTAGCGAAGTTTTTTTTTATTGACAGCTAAAGTAAGTAAAAAAAAAAAAAATCTTAAACTTTTAAAATATTTTTTAAAATATGAGTTCCTTGGACTTACTTTTGCTGTTTATTCTGTTATTCTATTTTTGTTTTTTATTTTTATTTATGTTAGCACAACACATTAAACTAATAAAAATATATATTAAAAAAATAATATATATACATATATATATTATATATATATATATATATATATATATATATATATATATATATATATATACCAAATAAAATATTGTTTTTGTAATAAAAAAATATATATATATATAATAAGACGAAAATAAAAAATATAATAAGAATATGATAATAATAAATAATAAATAAAATGGCTGTTTATTTTAAGTAAAAAAAATTTTGTTTGTTTTGGGGTTTTAGTTTGAATCCTTTATTTTATTCTGATTTTAATTCAAATTTTGATTTCTTTCAGAATTTTTCTTCATTTCTGTTCAGTTGTCTGATCAGCTTATTGAGCGTAAAATATCTCATTTTATTAAAATGAAAAAGTATTGGATTAAGTGTATACATACAGGTGCATGCTAGCTCATTTATTCTTAAAAGAATTGTATAATTTACATTCATATATAATTTCATATTGAGATGATTTGTTTTTTATTTTTAGGCTTTGGTGACAGTATTATTGAGGTTTTTGAGTAGACGTGCAGGATAACAGGGCTCTTTTTCTTAATTAAAATCTCCTACAGTATAGCAGAGAAAATGCATAAGACAAATCATATTTTTACATTTTGTTCATCACTTGAGTGTCCTTATTGAGTTGTAATGCTATTTTGTGATAACATGCATACTATTTTACATTTCGCATGATGCACAAAAAAGTATTTTTTAGCCCGCATTCCTGCTGTTGATGTGTTAAATCGTCACAGATATTGCAGGTTTTAAGCCACACATTCTGAAAGTCTCCGAGATGGAAATTACGATGAGACGGAGAAGCAGAAAAGAGAAGATGAACTCGCTCACCCGCTCGTGTCTTTCTGTAAAATGCACAGTCCAAACCAGAGCTAAAAAACTTGTGAAACACTCCCAGAATTCCTCAGATTCATCCTGAGGGATTCTCCGGCATTCACAGAGTTTTGAATGGCACAGAGCTGAAGCAAACTCTTCTGAGGACAGTATAATTTCAGAGAACAGCAAACCTGGAATTATGTGAAATTAGAATCAAGGCTAAAACAACAGTCTACAAGGTCGTGTGGTATTTTTTGCTACAAAATAAAAAATTAAAGCTTCTCATTCTAGCCAGAGTTAAAGTTGGCATATTTTACGGTAAAGGTATTTCAGCTCAATGATCCATGTGGTCTGAAAAAACACAGACAAAATTATCTTCTTATAAAAAAGGAATTAGCTGAAGGTGACGCAGAGGTGCAGTAGTGCTGTCGCTTCACAGCATGAAGGTCGCTGGTTCAAGCCTAGGCTGGCTCAGTTGGCGTTTCTGTGAGGAGTTTGCATGTTCTCCCTGCGTTCGTGTGGGTTTCCTCCGGGTGCTCCGGTTTCCCCCACAGTCCAAAGACATGCGGTACAGGTGAATTGGGTAGGCTAAATTGTCCGTAGTGTATGAGTGTGTATGAATGTTTCCTAGAGATGGGTTGAATCTGGAAGGGCATCCTCTGTGTAAAACATGTGCTGGAATAGTTGGCGGTTCATTCCGCTGTGGTGATCCCTGATTAATAAAGGGACTAGGCAGTTTTTGGATAAAGAAATCAAAATACTGGCTATTCATTTTGCTTTGGCTTACTCCATTATTTGTCAGGGGTCACCACAGCAGAATGAAGCACCAACTATTTCAGCATGCTTTACGCAGCGGATGCCTTTCCAGCCGCAACCCAGAACTGAGAAACTCCCATACACACTCAATCACAAACACTCATGCATGTCAATTTTGTTAACTTAATTCACCTATAGCACATGTGTTTGGACTGTGGGGGAAACCCACACCAACACGGGGAGAACATGCAAACTCCACACAGAAATGCCAACTGACCCAGCCGAGGCTCGAACCAGCAACCATCTTGGTGTGAGGTGACTGTATTTACCACTGAGCCACTGTGCCACCTATGTTGGCTATTGTTAGTGAATATTAAATCAATCAAATAAAACATACACACACACGCACACACACGCACGCACACACACGCAATGCATCCTAGACTAAAACCCACTTAGAAACACAACAAACTTCTGCATCTTCAGAGCAGTTCTGCGAGTCACTTGATAAGTAGAAATAAAATATAAAAAAGAATTAGAGCGGCACAGCAAAAACAAGGAAGCTGGTTCGAGTCTCGACTGAGTCAGTTGGCATTTCTGTGTGGAGTTTGCATGCTCTGGTTTCCCCCACAGTCCAAAGACATGTGGTACAGGTGAATTGGATAAACTATAAGTGGGCGTAGAGTATGAGTGTGTGTGTGTGTGAATCTGAGAGTGTATGGGTGTTTGAAAGTATTGTGTTGCTGCTGGAAGGGCATCTGCTGCATAAAACACATGTCGGAATAGTTGGCGGTTCATTCCGCTGTGGCAGCCCTGAAGTAAAGACTAAATGGAAGGAAAATTAATGAATGAATACATTTTATTCTACATTTTTTTTCTTTTTGTGATGATTCATAGTTTTTTTCTGAATTACAGAGTGATAATCAAGCGCACACCCTGATGTCAAAACACCATCAGAAAACCTAATGTTGGCACCAACAGCCTTGTTGTTAGGGCTTTGACATATAGCACCCAGATGCTCACGGCGCTCAGTCGAGTTCGATTCCCAGCTCGAGGTCCTTTGCCGATCCTTCCCCTCTCTCTGCTCCAAATACTTTCCTGTTTGTAAATCTCGACTGTCCTGTCATTACAGGCGAAAACCCCTAAAAAATTATTACTACAAAAAAAAAAGAAAGAAAACACGTCAAATAACACAACAAAAATTAGAATCGATCAAAACCTTGACGTCTATTTTACATCCACACATTGATGCCCTTTTGACCATCAAAATAACAACACAATAAATCATTATAATATATGAAAGTGTCATTCATCGAAAAAAGCTTCAAATCTAAATTTATGCTGGATCCTGTATTGATCTTCCACAATGCATGTAAACTACCTTGATGTCAAAACAACATCAAATTGACTTCTAACAATGGCGTTAAAAAACACGTCCAAAATTGCCTATATGACAATCATCCATTTTTTGTTATGGATTTTTGACGCCAATGTTCATTCATTCATTTTCTTGTCGGCTTAGTCCCTTTATTAATCCAGGGTCGCCACAGCGGAATGAACCACCAACTAATCCAGCAAGTTTTTACGCAGCGCATGCCCTTCCAGCCGCAAGCCATCTCTGGGAAACATTCACATACACTCATACACATTCACACACACTACAGACAATTTAGTTTACCCAATTCACTTGTACCGCATGTCTTTGGACTGTGGGGGAAACCCACGCAAACGCAGGGAGAACATGCAAACTCCACACAGAAACGCCAACTGAGCCGAGGCTCGAACCAGCGACCTTCTTGCTGTGAGGCGAACGTGCTACCCACTGCGCCACTGCGTCGCCGACGCCAATGTTAAATCTCAATTTCATTCATTCATTTTCTTTTCGGTTTAGTCTCTTTATTAATCTGGGGTCACCACAGCGGAATGAACCACCAACTATTTCAGCATATGTTTTACACAGCGGATGCCCTTCCAGCTGCAACCCAGTTCTGAGAAACATCCATACACACTCATTCACACACATACACTACGGACAATTTAGCCTATAGTGCATGTGTATGGACTGTGGCGGAAATCGGAGCATTCGGTGAAAACCCATGCAAACATGGGAAGAACATGCAAACTTCACACAGAAATTGCACCGAACTAGCTGAGGCTCGAACAAGCGACCTTCTTGCTGTGAGGCGGTTGTGCTACCCACTGCGCCACAGCGCTCAATTTCATGTCATTTTTAAATCAATTGATACTAAATCGATTAGCATTTTTTACCGTTTTTTTTTTTTTTGCATGATTTTAATGTCGTTTTGATTTCAAGGTGCCCGCTGTGAAAAAAAAGATTCCCAAAATCGCCTCTATAAAAACTTTGATACATCAAAACTAAAACATTTTTTTTTTTACAAGCAAAGACTTTTATTACGCCAGATTTGCATAGGACGTTAGTCTTGTTTTTGAATCTGCCACTATGCTGACACACAGGCATCTGTAGCTCCGCCCTCTTTTGAAAAGAGCACAATCTCATTTGAATTTAAAGCGACAGTCACCAAATCAGCACAATTAAGATCAAAGTCTAAATGGGGCAGTTTCAAAGAGTTATAAAACATTATCTGTGAGCTGAAACTTTACATACACACTCTAGGGACTTATTTACATCTTATAAAATTGTGTTTTTTTTTTCAATTTGGCTCATTATTTATTATGCATTACTCTACACTTTGCTTCAAATAATAAACAACTGTGTTTTCCAGGCGTAAACGCGATGCTCCGGAAAGTAGCGGGCGCCGCTGCAGCAAAACCGCATGTGGAGATTCGACAGGACGGAGAGCAGTTTTACATCAAGACCTCCACCACTGTCCGCACCACTGAAATCAACTTTCGCGTCGGAGAGGAGTTTGACGAGGAGACGGTGGATGGCAGAAAGTGTAAGGTGAGAAAGCAGAAAGCAGACACTGAGCTGCTGAGATTCACACTGAACAGTTAAGCCCTTAAACAGCAGCCGGAACAGGTAAACAAGCGACATCTGATGACTGTAGGACAGAGTTACAGATGGAGAGGGCTTAACGGGAGAGATGAGGACAAATAATACGGCACTTAACATGTCCATTGGAAAATTAGCATTGAGAGGAAGCTAATTGAAAATTTAATGAGCTTAACTATGAATTATGCATGCATTATTACTCAATCTGTTCCCATTTTAATGCTCTAAGACAAGAATGGGTGTTTAATAGTATCAGGACAACATTTATGAAGATCCACTTCAAATGTTGACCACTGTATATCAATCTACTCCCACAATTTAATTAAAAAAGTTTTTATAGCTGTTTAATTTAATAAACTAATTAATTATACTACTATTTTCAAAATAAAAATTTATGTGAAAATGTGAAATATTATATATATGTTTTACACATAGGGCTCTATGATTACCCGTCACAAGGCGCGACACAATTGTTGTTTGTTAGTTTCAGCACGACACAAGTGTCGTTTTGACGTTTTGCAGACATCCCAAGTCTCCTGGAGGTTCCGGGAGTCTCTATGCATTTGCGGGATGCCCACAAATGAATGATAATCTCCCGGAAATCACGCGCCTCCCGCCCGGTCCTTAAATAGTGTCCACCGCATCCCTCCAAGCTCTTTAGGTACGTTTGGCGCAAGTCAACCCCAGCACACACCTCACAACCACCGCGCTTCAGGTACATCGCACACACACGCCCCCACCGCTCTTCAGATACGTCATGCGCACACGCCCCCACCGCTCTTCAGATAGGTCACGCGCACACGCCCCCCACCGCTCTTCAGATACGTCACGCGCACACTCCCCCACCGCTCTTCAGATCCGTCACGCGCACACGCCCCCACCGCTCTTCAGATCCGTCACGCGCACACGCCCCCACCGCTCTTCAGATACGTCACGCACACACGCCCCCACTTCTCTTCAGATACGTCACGCACACAAGCCCCGACCACTCTTCAGATCCATCACGCGCACACGCCCCCACCGCTCTTCAGATACGTCACGCGCACACGCCCCCACCGCTCTTCAGATACGTCACGCGCACACGCCCCCACCGTTCTTCAGATACGTCACGCGCACACGCCCCCACCGCTCTTCAGATACGTCACGCGCACACGCCCCCACCGCTCTTCAGATACGTCACGCGCACACGCCCCCACCGCTCTTCAGATACGTCACGCGCACACGCCCCCACCGCTCTTCAGATACGTCACGCGCACACGCCCCCACCGCTCTTCAGATGCGTCACGCACACACGCCCCCACCGCTCTTCAAATGTGTCACGCGCACACGCCCCCACAGCTCTTCAGATACATCACGCGCACACACCCCCACCGCTCCCCACCGCTCTTCAGATGCGTCACGCGCACACGCCCCCGCCGCTCTTCAGATAAGTCACGCGCACACGCCCCCACCGCTCTTCAGATAAGTCACGCGCACACGCCCCCACCGCTCTTCAGATACGTCACGCGCACACGCCCCCTCGCTCTTCAGATCCGTCACGCGCACACGCCCCCACCGCTCTTCAGATACGTCACGCGCACACGCCCCCACGATTTTCAGATACTTCACGCGCACACGGCCCCACCGCTCTTCAGATCCGTCACGCACACACGCCCCCACCGCTTGTCAGATACGTCACGCGCACACGCCCCCACCGCTCTTCAGATCCGTCACGCGCACACGGCCCCACCGATCTTCAGATACGTCACGCGCACAAGCCCCCACTGCTCTTCAGATATGTCAAGCGCACACGCCCCCACCGCTCTTCAGATCCGTCACGCACACACGCCCCCACCGCTCTTCAGATACGTCACGCGCACACACCCCCACGCTATTCAGATACTTCACGCGCACACGGCCCCACCGCTCTTCAGATTCGTCACGCACACACGCCCCCACCGCTTGTCAGATACGTCACGCGCACACCCCCCCACCGCTCTTCAGATACGTCACGCGCACACGCCCCCACCGCTCTTCAAATACGTCACGCGCACACGCCCCCACCGCTCTTCAAATACGTCACGCGCACACCCCCCCACCGCTCTTCAGATATGTCAAGCGCACACGCCCCCACCGCTCTTCAGATCCGTCACGCGCACACGCCCCCACCGCTCTTCAAATACGTCACGCGCACACGCCCCCACCGCTCTTCAAATACGTCACGCGCACACCCCCCCACCGCTCTTCAGATATGTCAAGCGCACACGCCCCCACCGCTCTTCAGATCCGTCACGCGCACACGCCCCTCTTCAGATACTTCACGTGAATACATACCACCACTCTTCAGAAACCCACTCTCCCGCGACCTCCCACAAATAATCTCTGTGTCCCCCAAAAGTGACTTTTTCCAACTTGGCATGTCTAGTTTTGCACCACGCTATATAAATAGCAAATGCATTTGCGCTCATAAGTGCACCCATTGGCACTCTGGTCTAAAAAATGAGGTGTGTTAAGGCGCATTGCTGGTGCGTTGCTATTTTGAGGAACTAAAACCAGAGCACCCAGAGGAAACCCACACGAACGCAGGGAGAACATGCAAACTCCACACAGAAATGCCAACTGGCCCAGCCAAGGCTCAAACCAGCGACCTTCTTGCTGTGAGGCGATTATGCTACCCACTGCGCCACCGCGTCGCACCATATTATTTTTATTATTTAGTTATTATTCATAAAACATTTGAGATTTTTTTTTCACAAAAAACATCAAATGATAAAACATTAATAACAATATAAATAAAATAGAAATATACATTTTATTCATAATCAAATAATAATAAAAAAATTCAAATACTTTAATGCAATTACTCATTCATCTTTCTTCAGCTTAGTCCTTTATTTATCAGGGGTCGCCACAGCAGAATGAACCACCAACTATTCCAGCATGTGTTTTACACAGCGGATGCCCTTCCAGCAGCAAATCAGTACTGTGAAACACCCATACACTCTCACATTCACACACACACACTCATACACTACACCCAATTTAATTTATTCATATTACCTATAGCACATGTGTTTAGACTGTGGAGGAAACCGAAGCACCCGCAGGAAACCTTGCATGCCAACACGGGGAGAACATGCCAACTGGCTCAGCCAGGACTTAAACCATTCATCTTATTGCCCTGAGGCAACAGTGCTAACCACTGAGCCACCGTGCCACCTTTTATGCAGTTATGCATGGTGCAATTTAGCTTTTATTTGTTAATTTTTATGCACTCCTTTCATGCAATTAAAATCCAGAGTATCAATTTTGAGAATTTTGAGGTTAATTACGTAAAGCTTTAAGTCATTCATTGAATAATATATTGAAATGATCACAATTTAAGAAGCTAAACATATACATCACACCTGCGAGAAAATGAATCATCCCCTGTTGAGCTCAGCAAGCACTTATAAACAAAGCAAAGCGCCAGTAATGGAAACTGCTGTTTTTCAGATCCATTTCCCCGAACATCTGGGCCTCTGATTTCAGAAGAGGCAGCCACAGACACGTCTATGCAGATTTACATTAGTCCACCTCACACATCGCATCCATCAGGACAAATTAGCCATTAACGAGAGCGTCGTTTAGCTCAGCATGAGCTTCTCCATCATCTTCAGAAGAATAATAATCTCTCCATATCACCTTAATCGTGTTTATACGCATTTTTGCAGAATTGTGGCTTTCACTTTCTTGCACAAGCAGTCAAAATTCGAGCCTGTAACCCGAGCGCATCCAGCCATCCTGCATTGAACATTTAACTACATGGTAAAATCTACAACCTCGTCCACTGAAGCTTTATATTTCATTCCACTGACCTTAACAATGAGCAAAATGATGGCGTGGTCAAACCGCGAGAAACCTAAACCTGTGTTCAGACCACAAAGCTCAGCAGAAAGCCTGTTTTAACCACTACGAGTGACTAAAAAATTAGACAAGGGCAGGAGGGTCACTGGTTGCAATTAGATGAAAAAGTGGCACATTAATTACCATCTCTTATTGAGCGTCATAAATAGACAACATTTCTAATTTGTCAGGCCTTAAAGCGATTGTTCACCTAAAAACGAAGGGCTGTTAATTTATTTACCCTCAAGGTTATCCTAGACGTTCAATGTGACTTTTCTTTTTCTTCAGTAGATGAAGCTGTGATTCTTTAAATGCAAGTCTATTCAATCATTTTCCTTTGGCTTATAGCCCGTTTCCACTGAGGTGTGAACGCTGAACGCTTTTATGGCTGTTTCCACTGTCAAAAGGCGTACCGAACCGAACTGTACCAATTTTTCCGCACCCTTTCGAAAGGGTTCCACACACAAGGGTATCAAAAGGTGGAGTAACACGCACAGCTGAACGCTGATTGGTGTCATGACTGTGTTTGTCCACCAGATGCCACTGTAGTTCGCCAGCAACCCCCAGCGGACTACAGTGGCTTTAGAACTACATTTCCATACATTCTTTGGCACACACACCCGGTCTCTCATCTACACTGATTTACAACCACAGCTGTCTCCGTTCTCTGTGATTACCTGGACTATATATTCAGTCATTCATCCTCTGTTTGTCAGTTGGTCGTTGTCATTGTTGGTATGTTGTTCCTGATCTTGATCTAGCTCTTGCTCTTGTATCTCGTCTTAGTGTTAAAGTCTAGTCCCAGTTTAATCTGTTTGAGTTGCTCGTTTGTTTGTTTATTTTGTTAATTTGTTACTTTGATTTTTGGATTTTGTCACTGTTGCTGCACTTTCACATTAAAGATCTGCACTTGGATTCTACACCCGTTTTTGTTCCTGTTTTAATCCTGAAACGTGACAGATTGGTTACAGAGATAAGTCACTAGCTCGTGTGGAGCTAACCAGAATGAAAACAAAGGAACCGCCATGTTTTAAATACACAGCCGAGAAATTACACCATAATACTATATAACGAGCCATGGACGA